TCAATATAATGACATAACCACCCAATATAATAAAAAAAAGTATCATAAGACAGTTCTGGCGTTCCATAACCCGAGGTAGTTCGACACCGAGAAAGCACGGCGGAGCGATCGAACTAATGAAGAGAATCACCCTCTCTGAATATAACAGAAGACGAGAACGAAGACGGGACAAAACAAGAAGTAGATAGATTCTTTCTTTTCAAAAAAGGAATGTGTTTTCTATGGACTTTGTTTTGCCCGTTTCGGACAAGGCGCTTTATCGTTCGACACGAAGAAACATGATTTACTGAAAAAATAGGCAAAACGCCCAACATAAACCTACCTGCAACCTCTGTTGTCCGGAGCACGAGAAGCAACTTCAACGCAACCCACAGAAATTTTGCGTCCAGTAAAGCCACGCGACGTGGTGGATGGGCTCCTGGTAGTATTTAAACGTAATTTCAGTTTCACGCGCGCCTATACCGTGCAATGTGCAGGAGGTTCGTGACCGAACTTTACAGCATCACAATGACGTGTTATCACGTACCCCTTGTAGCGAAGGATAGATATCATGTCACGCTATTTAAGTGATGTTAATATTGTTAATATAGTTAAATGTAGCCAGCATGTGCTAGCATCACATTACATTGTACACTCGCTTATCGCTGTTTTAGTTCAATCGATCGTTTAGCTTTTTTTTTAGTTTTTTGAAGTTGTGAGAGTTTGTTTGGCTGTTTGTAGCTCGGCGCTGTAATGGCGCGTAATCCTCTGTCTCTCTCTGTACAATTTTAAGTAAAAAATGAGTCAATTTCAGTCGAGCTTACCTCTCCGATTATTGCCGTATTTGAGAGGATTTCTGTGGAATACACTTCACGAATTTCCTCTCTATCTGCCACTCAATTTACGGTAGAAAAGTCTGATTTCGAGTGATTCGCAACGACTGACAGAAATGAACGTGAATGACCTTCACCTCAAAACTGGATCTAGAGTGTATACAAGTATTAAAGGAAGCTATTTGCCACTACTCAGAAGGTAAACAAAAGAACCTGAACGGAAGAAGATGTATTTTCACAGGATGCAAGGATTATGCAAATGAGCTTTGACACAAGCGAAAACTATATAAAAACACTGAATGTGGCAGATTTTAATATGTTCTCGCGTGCAATCCAAGGAGATACCCACCGGTTTGAACTTATAGAACGGTTTATTAAGGTATGAAATTCACTGTGATGTGCTCTTTAGGCTTCATTTAGACTCAACTTTTGAGATTTTCCCCCTCAAATTTGGCTAAATTTTAGTAGGTGATCAGAGGCCTCGGAGTAGGGTGTCTTCCAGCCTCGCTGGTGAGCTTAGAATTTTCCGAAAAGTTTCCATATTTCGTCAGTCAAAGTAATGAATGTACCTTAGAATTCGCATGAAAACGAAATTCCGTGAGCTGCATTTTAGGCGACGTAGCACGCTTCACAAATCGGTGAATTTTACCCTTGTGATCACGCTCGGCAACCTCAGTTCGGCCAAAAGTGAATTTTGGCTCGTAGCAAAGCAAAAATAAGGAATTGGAAAATAATAAATTGCTTTTATATATGTATGTGCCAGACCCTTTTCACTGACAAAAGATGAAGGAAGATTATTTTTGGTCCCGGAGTCGAGTGGACCGCTTTTAGCGGGACTGCCACTTAAATGGTGAACTAAATGCAACTAACATAAAGTAGTTCGGTATAAATCTTTTTTTTTTAATCCATCAATCTTTGTCTAGTATTTGAGTTACTTGCTCGTTCGCTCGTTAGATTTTTTACCAATGGTTTGTTGAGTCTGTAGACGGCGCGTAAGCCAATTCAATGACAAAGCTGTGTAAACAAAGCCACTTGTAAACCAATTTATCGCAAGAAAAAAAGATAAAAATGTTATTGCCCGGCTTAGGGTCGGTCCTTATAGTTAAAAACTGTGACCTCGGGCTTGAAAATGCTGCCCGAGGCGGCAGGCCGAAGGCAGCATTTTCAAGACCTCGGTCACAGTTTTTCCCTATACGGACCTCCCAGCCGGCCAATAACATACATTTATTAACCTATAAATGAAAACGTGAGTGACAGATACTTCCTCTTTTGAACTACATATCCAAATTTGGTAGTAATACCCTGAATATAGGCCGAGATATTTCACTTTTAGCAACACTATTTCAAAGTGTTGAAATTTGGTGAAAATTAATTTGAGCTCTAAAAGGGTTAAAGAATTAAAATGCAAGCCAGAATGTATTCTATATAATAACCTATTCGTTATTAAATTATCAAGGAAAAACTTGTTTTGGTGCAGGATATTATAATCCTGAGATATTTCAGGGTATTAAAAAGCTAGGGTTATTTGATTTTCTATTTCATCACAGATCAAATTATACTTTCTCCTTATATTGTTGTTATGTAGGTTTTGCCTTAGGAGGAAAACTTGAGTTTATTCATATTCTATTGAGTACCATCATTTTTGGGATAGTATTTACCGTTACCTTGGTTATTTTTGTTACGCGTGTCATTCGAGATAATGACATAAAATCGAGGTCTAGTTTTTAAAGCGTAACTAACCTCCATTTTTTTTCTTATATAAATCTCCTCATTTTTCTGATCACCACTGCGAAAAAATTATCGTTGTAGCTAATTTCGTTAATTTTCTATGAATTTTCAGTCTGTAAAATTAGCCCTTTCCGCGGCCATGACCGACCAGTAGCGAGGAATAGGGCGAGTTGGCCTGTGACGTCTTTGAGGTGCTTCTAATAAGAAGAATGTATGCGAACAGGTGATTTAACAAATTGATGTCAGTTTTTCACGCGTCTGTCCTGTTATTGATCATGAATTTAGTCACAACATTGTCAAAGTGGCTGTGGATCCGCAGACAGAGCAGTTCTTCGATTTCGGGTTCGCCGCTACTGTAAAAACCTAGGATTTCATTCCCTAGCTTCTAGTGTGAAGCTCGATATTGTGAAGGTAGATAAGACACGACTGGTTGAGATAAGCTAGGAGTCATCTGACTATTCAGTACTACTCAATTCAAACGAGCCCCAGATGTCCCAGACCAAAATAATAATGGAAACTGCTGTAGGTGAGATAATTATGCGGCAAATTATAAGCATCAAGTTCTCTTTGTCCTCGAAATAGAGACGCTTCTAAACGAATAATCAACGACACGTACGTCCTACAACGAGGCGATTAAGATTAGTGAAGCTTCGAACTGCAGAAGAAGCTATGTATTTGTAGATTTCATATACAACCACACGCACGACACCGACAATCGGCGCTTGAGTTTCTCATTTGCATACACAATTGTTTTGTTCTTTGAGCAACGAAATATATCTCAGGTACAAACTTAAGACGAATCAAGCATTGATAAGTATATGAGGAAGGAGAGTAAAACAAACCATTTAGATTCGACTTTACCGACGGAGATTGTGGCGCTTAAAGGAAGCCAAAGGAGACCGAGAATGAGCTTGTTGTTGACCGAAACGCTCAGGTTATTAGCGTACGTAAAAGAGACTTTTAATAATAATGATAATAATAACAATAATGATAATGATAATTGTTTCAATGAAGAACAGTGTTTTGCGTGACATTTCGCGTGAAGTTTTGGTATTGATTTTAATAGTTTAATATTACACTTTTTATCAAACATGATTACATTGATTGACATTGCAATTTGAGCAGCTTGATGTAGGAATCGTTTTCAGTTAGTTTTATACGTGTCGGAATGGATAGCTTCCAGTTTTAAAGGTCTTTCACAGTTTAATTGGACTCAGGAATCCTGTCACGAAGTGAGTCAGTTTAAGTTGTTTTTTTTCCGTTTTCTAAGGCTTTGTTTCTTTAAGTTGTTTCCTTTGATTTCTGGTAGTGTAATTTCGGTAATCGACCGCATGTGATTAACAATTGTGTAATACGGCGTGGTTTACTTAGTGAAATCTGTTCGCGTTTCTTGGTTTATACGATGTATTAAGGCCCTTTATTTTCGGTTAGTTGCTGTTGTTTAAGTGTATCATTTGTTGTGTTTATTTCAGATCGAATAAAAATCTTATTTATACGATTCACGGGAAATCAGAGTCAAGGGTGTTTTGGTCCGACGGACCAATAATGATAATGATGATGATGATGATGACGATGATGATACTGGATAACACAATTCCTGGTAAAACCAGTAGTTCTCATTGTGGTCCTTAAAATCTACCAAGTAACGACAATTACAAATTCAAATAGAAAATACAAAGAAAGAATATAATTAAAAATACAATTAAAACAAAAGAACAGTGAAGTAGAAATGTTGTCATTTAACTGATACCATATTGAACCTTTTGTCAAGATCTTGTCGAAGGATTTTTAATTGCTAGTACAAAAAATCCAATAACGAAGAAAGACGAATTTTTCGGCGCTTTTGAATAATTAGCGGAAAAATATGCTATCGTCGTTATGAACTATCCAGGGTTCGGTGAGAGTACTAGAAGAACGGTGTATGTAGATTAGTAGATTAGTAGATTAGCCAAATGGGCAGGCAAATTGTCGATCGTGACTTGCAGTGTGGCGGGCTCGACCGGCGACCCGCACTTCGAAATCGAAAAAGCAATATACAGCTGTTTCGAGAAAGGTTGTCTCACGAACGAAGAAAAGCTTACTCGACAATGTCGAAAGTTATTATTGGTAATGGTGGTTTTACGGTTGCTTGTTTGAAGCTCAAGGTGTTTCAGCGTGATAAAAGGAAACAGCACAAATACGTGTATTCATGCTTTTTCCTTCCTTCTTGCTGAATCACCGCGAACCTCAAGCAAACAACGCCAAACTTTTACTACCTGTATTACCAATCGGCATTGTCGCGTACGCTTTTACACTTTTGTGAGACAACCTTTGTCGAAACAGCTTCATACTTCGTAGCCGTCCTAGTCGTAGCTAGATTCCGAATTGTATTGCTAAATGATACATTTCTTTCATTTAAAAGTCTTGTCCATTTTTGATAAACTATGAAGCACAAATACCCCGAATATGTTTTCACAGTGGGTGCTTACCATTTGTCAGCCGAATAAACCTGTTGGGATGACCGTTAAATAATGGTAAGGGTTTTTCCAAAATCAGCAAACCAAACGAACGAGATGGCGCTTACCATTTGCAATTCGATTTCTCGTAATTGTTTTGGGCTGATGAGAGACTGGAAACTGGAAAATTTCCATCGTTTCGTTCCGAACGGAATAAGAGGGCTACCTCTGGAGGTAGTCTACAATTTCCGAACGGATCTTCCGGAAAATTACTGTTCCATTTGAATTCAACCGAAATTTTCGGACTTTTTTGGTAAACGGTAAACACTCCCAGTCAAACGTCTCTTGAGTGTCCTTTGATGATGTCTCAAGAAGCCCGACCCAGTTCAGAATTTGAGAAAGGCCAACCCACGAAGTTGGGATTGTGCAATCATTTTGTTAGTAACACTCATAGCAACAACTTTTATTTTTAAACTTTGTGTCATACCAAAGTTTTAATCCACAAAAACCAAGATTGCAACTTTTATATTACTCACGTTACCTTATTTTGGTCAACCACTTAGGAATAGTCGTTTAAAATCAGGGTAGAAAATGTCTTAGTCAACCTAGATGACCTCGATGGAAATTATGCAAAGTAGCTTTGCGCGCAATCGCAATAGAACCTTATGCGAACTGAGCATGACATTACGTTAGCCCAATTGACAGTTTGACAGTGATTTGATGGATCGTGTGGTTGTCCCTTTAAAAGGAACGTGATGAGTGAACTCCTAGTAGTTGAAGTAGTTGCTGAAATCAGTCCAGATCAATAATCGTTAAGAGCTGCTGTAACTGAAAGGATCAGTGAAAATAAGGGACAAGTAACCGAACTGGGAAGAGTGTTGAAGTTAAAGTTGTTTCCCCAAACTTCGCTTTATCAAGTCTTCTCGTTAATTTTATCGCCGAGTCAGCTCGTTATTTCGTGTTAACTCATCAGCTCAGAGAGCGTAAGCAACCCACGACGGCAACGTAAACAACCTCCGTTTTGTTGCGTGGTCCTGTCAACTCGTCGTCTCGTACCGTCGTGTCAGCTGGTTTGGTCGTGTCGTCGTGTCAACTCGTCGTCTCGTCGTGCACGTCACCTTTTTTCGTAGGTTACAATGGTACAATCGACCCTTAAAATTTCTTTATCGATTTTTGAATGACATTTAGTAGAAGATCAAATCTTGCCTCGAGTGTAAACAGAAAGTCACAGAAATCGCTGAAGTTACAAGACAGCGCAGTTCATTAGTTGGTTTTGCTTGCTTATCAATAGGCTTTGAGAAATTCCTGATCTTTCAGATCAGTTGGGATCGGAGGCCTCCCTTTTCGTACCGGCTCCCCAGTCTTATACTTCAGTTTACCTATGAACACAACATTTCCTTGTAGTGTCGTTGCTGATAAACTCCATGCTGATCGTTTGAACATTAGACTTTTCCAGTCTCTCGGTCAGTGGGGACGATCGAAAGAGCGAGCGGATGACGAGCGGGATCCGGGAGATAAAAGGAGAGGGCGGGCCCGCTAGTCGCCCGCCCTCTTTTTTGATCGTCCCCAGTTACCGTGAGCCTGGAACAGGCTATGTCAATTTGGGCCGTAACCGAGGCCCGGTTCAAACGTCACGCTATTGTGTAATCGATCTCAATTGACCAATTAACTTATAGTCAAGTTGTACCAAGAGAAAATGAGTTTTCTCTTGGTGCCATCACTTTGGGCTGTTTTGTCCTTTTTGAAAATGCCTTACCCCCGGGGGGACTCCCATGTAAAAAGTCCGGGATTTTCGTCACCTCGTTTAGGGGTGTAAATCATGAATTCAGGACAGAAAGGTCCAGAAAGCCACTATTTTTTGCCGTCAAGTTATAAAAGCTGTCTGTCCGTTGTAGAGTGCTATCTTTTAGGGGTTAAATAAAGCTCGACCACGCCCACATTGGTATCTTTTAGGGGTTTAATTCAAATTATCCGACCAGCATCCCAGACCTTTACACGTGGAAGCCCTCCGGGCCCTGACAAGATTCAACATTTGTGCTAACTGTATTTTCAGTACATGGTAAGCACCCACGAACTGTAGATAGATATTAATGATAACTTTATTACTGCGCCTTTCAATAACATGCGGACTCTAAAATTCAAAGCTCAACCGACAAATGCGTTTTTCGCTACCGTCAATCAAATGTTCGGCGGCTCCTCCCAGCTTCCGACTACTGCCGAGAGCGCGGTAATCAAATCACTGAGTACAGTTCAGACAACGAAACAGTGCTCGGCAGTAGTCGGAAGCTGGGAGGAGCAACCGGACATTTGATTTGCGGTAGCGAAAAACGCATTTGTCGGTTGAGCTTTGAATTTTAGAGTCCGCAAATTATTGAAAGGCGCAGTAACCGTCTAGTAACTTTGTTAACGAAAAGCTTATTTTAGGGATAATCCTATAATTAATTCTGGACCGGCTAGATAAAAATGAACTCAAAGTAAGATTAATTTAAATCTTTCTGTTGACTACTATCGTTATAATAACTAATTTAAGTCAATGAAAGAAACAAATATGGCGGGAGGCAGACCAGTTAGCTATTTACAGGCATGATCGAGGAGTTGAACTACGTGCTATCGAGAAAATCAAGTGGTCAGAACGGGACTTGATCTCGCGACCTCCGGATTTCAATTCCGCGCCCTAACCACTCGGCCACGCTGCCTCCACTCGCTCTAGTTTAACATTTTTAAGTCCGTCTTCTGCCAGCCAGCCTGTAATTAACATCGCTCATAATGTACGTGGCCAGTCCGGTCCTCAAGTCCAGGCCAGCAGACTACGCGGGAGGAATTTAAAAATGGAGGTTTCACTCTAAAAACGCATCAAATGTTTGCCATTCACACTACGCCGGAGGAATTCAAAAAAGGCTCCCATCACCGCTCATTTTTAATTTATGTTCGAGGGAAACTCGGTCAGGCAAATCACATGATCGCAGTGACGCCATTGTTTTCGAAAAGTTTCCTTTTCAAACTGTTTTCCGTCCACATGTAAACACGAAGCCGGCGTTTTCAAATTCCTCGGCTTGATGAACGCTTTCCGGAAAAGCTCCGTTTTCGTGACGGGTTAGTGTGAACGGTTGGCCTAGCCGCAGAAATAAGCTGCGTTTTCAAATTTCTCCCGCAAAGTGTGGACGCTGCCTCACTTTTAGCCAATCACGCGTGATTTGTGTTATATCTAAACACGTTCCAGCCACTAGCCAATTATCGAAGTCATAGTGCGTCGTCTGCAACTAAACGAGATTTCCATTCTGGATTGTTTTGCCTTTTATTGTTGTTTTTTGTTGCTCAAGTAAGGAAGCCTTGGTCCGACTCAACGCCGTTTTTATAACGGGTTGCTAAGTTACCAAAAACGGAATGTCACCATCAGCAGGAAAAAATTGCAAGCAAGAGTGATGATTTGATCTCTTACAAGACGCAAAGCTGCCAGCAGTAACATAGTCAGCAAAACTGTTCGGTAATCCCCATTTCATCCAGGATTGGGAATGTCTTAGAATTTCTTTTCCATATCGATTTCTTGCATACAAACCAGGACTAAACGGCGTATCAATCCACTTACCCCGAATGTTTGTTTTGGTGAACGTTGCGTGATGTTGTAGCTCTGGGGGGAGAAATTGAGTATTTGTCACAGTCGACATGCCCCACACCTCGATGTAAAATCTATTGAAATTAATCTTGAAATACCCGCCTTCTGTTAATTTAAATTTGGTTAGTTCAAAGCCATTTCTCCGGAAATGCTCGACTGTTTCTTTCTTCCCAAAGATTGCCACATCTGAAGATAAAAGAGTAACATCTCCGTCCAAGTCCCAAGGAAGAAGGCCATTGAACTTTACACTTCCTAATACGGAGCCAGTATCAAGCTCGAATGTAATATTGTGTTCATCAGCAAACGTTTGAAAAAAGGACAGTGCTTTTGCATACTCTTCCTGACAACAAACTGGGAGTAACTCGCTATTAGCTTTGCATTGGAAACCAATATCCTTACAGGAGAAGGAATGCTTCGCCCCCTCGGGCAATAGCACCCGATTAAGCTCCCACTTCTTAGCTAAAGGTTTCCACACGGTTTTACTAGTTCTTTTGGAAAACGAAGTGTAATCTGCAGTGAAATACATAGCGTCTGGACATGACATTATCAGGTTTTCATCTTCAGTAAGACGTAGAAACCAGTCTTCAAAAATGACCTCATTTGGAAGACTCTCGTCAAACTTCAACAGCTTTGTTTTGGCAACGAAAGGACCCTGCAGATAATCACAGAACATGCACTCGTTTCTTGAGTGATAATAGCCTTCCTGGTATTCCAGGACGTAATTTTTCATTGTAGTTTGCACACAGCCCGCTTTCCAGTGACCTGAAAAGTTACGGTAAGATCCACCTGCAACTCCAACATTTGGTATCTGACTGACCACACGAATTTGCCTCTCAAGTTGGGTAAGCCAGGTGAAGTGAAAAACATCTCTTGCAACGAGTATATAAGGAGTAGATACCTTCCTTATCAACATGTTCCATCTTTTACCCAACTTCGTATCGTCGACCTTAAAGGCATCAATACTGTTATACCTTTTGGCAGCCTCTATCGCTTGGTCACTACGTGTTGCCAGGTAAACCTGAACTGTAGGGTAGGTCTCTGTAATACCTTTTAAAACCTTTTCTATGTTGTTCTCGTCTTCCTTAGGATATGCAACAGTGTTGATCAAAATACTTATAACAGAACTAATTGGTTTGGCATTAGTACAGCTAGTGATGGCCCAGCCCGTAGCTTTGCGAGAAGTACCCCCCTTGAACTCCTCTGGACACACATCCACGCTACCATCGCTGCTGAATGTCTCACTTGTTATACTCGCTGGCTGCAGTCTGTCGTCTAAGCGATTTACTATTTCTTCTAATCGCTGAGCCAATCTTGCTGAAGGTGCTTGTTGCTGGACAAGTAACTTTTCCATTTCCAGCTCGATTGCATTTAGTTCATTTGCAATGCCTTGTCTAAGAGACAGGAACTGTTTGTGGTTATATCTGAAAAGAGATTTCATTTTTCATAGTATATTATTTTACTGTATTAAGTGCTTTAATCAAAAATCTTGAGATTGTTACATCTAAACCGTGTACCAGACAAAACGATTTTTGTTTCCTCGTTTTTTGTTTAGTCAGTTAGTCTTCGCTTGCAACTACATCGTTTCAACATAACTGCAAAGACCTCCCCTTAACACTAGTATTTGTGATAATCGAAGACAGCAAATTTCTAAAAACTAGCTATATTTAAATGTTGTTGATTACAGTTATTACGTCAACATTACGTTCTACTTCATCTGCCAATTTGAAACTGCTTCAGCAAATGGTTTCTCCACTGCATATTTTAAAAACACAGAGAGGGTTGATAAAATTTTGAAGGTCCAAGCCTACGAGCCTATAGGCAAGTTACGCCACTGATGGTACAAGTAATTCAATCAGTAAAAGTAGGTTCAAGATCACATACCTGTTTGTCAGTGGATAGAACCCAATAGTCAACATTGTTAGGCTGCCAACAAGAGCAGCGAAGGAGAGGAAGACACATCTCTTAGTCAAAGCGCACGCCATTATCTTTTGAACCAGACTTTCAAATCTGTGGATGTTATATCAGAATGATATGATAAATATGAGTACAATGTCAATAACCGAGCACAGTGAAGTCCTTAAAAAATGGAACCCCAGTATTTCCCAAGCTTTCTTCAGTTCTACATTGCATTGTTATACCATGAAAATCGCATGAATTTACATTTAACATTATAAATTTCAGATAAACTTATCCGTTCCTATACAACTAATACTTCAGGAAAACAATGTAGAAGATGTTTCTAGCAGTTCTAGCATCGATATGACTGGCTTCTTAAACCCCAACTAGTTGACGCTGCTCTTTTCCTGGAATTACCTTTCTATATTAAATTACTTGTAAGTTTGCTTTTACTCAAGCGATTTCGTATTTAATTTAAAGTCATACCAATTGATATCGCTTATAGATAATCTCTATATTTCTTCCCTCATACTTCTCGAGGTGTTGATTAACATTGATACTGGTACTGAGCTCGAGATTTCTATCGCGTGATAGTTGACAAGGGCGCAGTCCGAATCAACAAATAGTATACAAGGGCCATAGTAAATACAGCCAATCACAGGGCTCGAAATTAACTTTTTCATTCGGGAGCCAGCTGGCGACTAACGGAAAAATTTTGGTCGCCAGATCGTAAATTTTGGTCGCCAACTTACACGTATTATATATATAACTTACACAAGAACACGATTTCATACGTTACTTTGCATGCAAGAAAAGTCACGATTGAAGAGCGAAAACAATTAGAAACAACACGAGTAACAATTAGTTTTAAAGCTACAGTTGTTCTCAGGTGATATGTCTCTGGTCCGAAGGTGATGGTTGTCTCCTTAGTCATTTTAAATGAAGCGAAGCATAATACGTTTTAAGTCCGTGGTTTGCATTGTGAGACAAACACGGGTCCTTGCGTATTTTCCCGTTGCTACTTCTTCGAAATGCCGTTCTTTATTTTGTCTTAAGTTTGGATTAACC